ACACACACACACACACACACACACACACATATATATATAAACATAAAAAAAATATCTGGCAAAATGTCTTACCTCCATATCTTTTGGTAGAGTTTGTGTTAGCGAGAAAGTATCTGCTTCTTATCAACTCATCAACTCGCCATCTACAGCTTGGGCTGGTACAGGAAACACTACTACATCACTCTTTATTGTGTCTGAACACGTCGTACTGTCGTACTGTTGTGTGGATTTAGAGAAGGACCAGCTGCCGTCTGGATGTGTGCTGATCACTGGAGCGCTGTACCTGCTGAAACTGCCGTCTGTCCTGTAGCACTTAACTGCTATCAACCCCACGAGACTCAGTAAAAAGATGACTGAGACTGAGACAATAGCGATGAGCAGATACAGATTCAGATCTGAAAAACTCTCTTCTTTAACAGGAACTTCTCTGAATGATGTCTTTATGTCATCCAGACTCTCAACAACCATAACATCCATGGACATAGTCGCTGAGAGTGATGGCTCTCCATTATCAGACACTGTGATAAGAAGTGGGTGAGTTTTTAAGTCATTGTCACTCATTCGTCTCTTTGTCTTTATTTCTCCAGTGCTGCTTCCAATGCGGAAGAGATTCGTTCCTTTGGGTTCAGTTAGATGATAAGACAGAAGTGCGTTATATCCAGAGTCAGCATCAACAGCTCTGATCTTGGCTACAAAGTATCCCGCTTCAGCAGAGTAGGGAATGTTCTCACTATTAACTGATCCAGGTTCAGAATAAGGCGGTAAAATAACCGGACTGTTGTCATTCTCATCCAGAATAAATACATTTACAGTGGCATTACTGCTCAGAGGAGGAACACCGGAATCTGTTGCCATAACTTGAATCTGAAATCTTTTCGTTTCTTCGTGATTAAATGATTGCAAACTGAATAGTTCTCCACTCAAAGAGTTTATATTTATCAACTCGACACGCATAACTCATCACGGTCAATTCTGTCATTAACAAACAGAACGCCAGTTTTCAGATTTACGTCAAAATACTTCTTATTTGATCCAGTCACAATCTCAAGCATACGAGATTCCAGTTCATGAACATTTATGTTCAGGTCTTTCGCTATATTCCCAACAACTGTCCCTTTATTTACCTCTTCCGGTACGGAATAGACGATTTGAGCAGACGCAGAATCCAGCAAAGAAAAGAAAAATATAAATCCACACTCGAAATATCCCATTAAGACCATGATGGTCATCCACAGCTGTCTTGGTGGCAGTAAAACAAAAAATATAAGCTCGAGAATCTATATTTCTTCTTTGCATTCAGGAAACACGAAACGAAACAGCATCATTACGTTTTAGCAGCAGATACACTCACTAACACCAAGATCCAGAGAGAGAGCGAGAGAGAGAGAGAGAGAGGCTGCAGAGAACAAACTATAAACATTTTACTGACGGTCTGCAGTGACACCATGTGCATTACCTATAGTATAACATGAATTATCTATTTACAAATCCTCCCCAAAAAATGAATAATATAACAACGACATCAACAGCAGCAATACTCAAATACATTTAACGCTCAAAAACAATTTAAAAATGCGCAGTATAACGTTATATGATAGCAGCATGAATAATTTAATAAGACTGCAAACAATCAAACAGATGTTTGTTAAGACAGAATCTACTCTGTAAAATGCAGTGGTCGATTAAACAGGTCATAATAGAAAGTTGTTTTAACAAAACTAATGACCCGGTAAGTGAGATGCACAGTGATATGATGGAAAAAAGGTCAAATCTGTCAATATAATAGAAGAAAACACGACTAGAACACTGTGTTGACGAATCACTGAATGCCAGAATGTATTACTATTATTATTATTATTAATACGATCTATTTTCGCTTTCGTTGCTGCATATAGTACCTTTTAATTGCGCTTTGCCTATCTCGTGCGTCTTAAAATCTTAATGTATATATCTCCTTGAGACATATTGTTACAAATAAAGGCTCCAAAAAGGGGTTTTCGTAGCGATGCAAAAATAAAATCTATTTTCCCAAAGAGCATTTGTCCCTCTCCTTAGTGTGAAATAACATTTTGTGCAGTGGAAATGTCCCATTGATGTTAAAAGTTTATGAATGTTGAACCTTTTGTTAAAAAAAAAATAGCGTAGGGTCTACTGATTTTCTAATATGTAAAACATAAAGCTCAAATACACCATGATTGTTTTAATGCTTTAAAATATTAAAACATTTTAAAACATGCACCATAAAGGACCAGATTCACCATATACAGTATGCTCCTCAAACGCTATATCACTGACAAATAGAAAACAAACAAAAAATAATTAATTAATCAAAGCAACTGAAATGAACGTAAATTTAAAAAATAAGTTTAACAACCACGTTGTTAAAACTAAATCAGCTTTTATGACAACCAAACGAAATAATTTAGAAAAGCTGAGAACAATAATTCAGCAGTAAATTAACTATCCAACACTAATTCTAAAAGATCTGCTTACCTTCTCGGTGGTCGGAAGAGTTTGCATGCGCGTAAAAGTGTCATCTCCATCAATGCTGATCAACTCCGCGTCTGCTGGTGGAAACGGCGAGGGGAAAACGACTACATCACTCTTTATTGTGTCTGAACTGAAACACACATCGTACTGTTGTGTGGATTTAGAGAAGGACCAGCTGCCGTCTGGATGTGTGCTGATCACTGGAGCGCTGTACCTGCTGAAACTGCCGTCTGTCCTGTAGCACTTAACTGCTATCAACCCCACGAGACTCAGTAAAAAGATGACTGAGACTGAGACAATAGCGATGAGCAGATACATATTCAGATCTGAAAAACTCTCCTCTTTAACAGGAACTTCTCTGAATGATGTCTTTATGTCATCCAGACTCTCAACAACCACAACATCCATGGACATAGTCGCTGAGAGTGATGGCTCTCCATTATCAGACACTGTGATAAGAAGTGGGTGAGTTTTTAAGTCATTGTCACTCATTCGTCTCTTTGTCTTTATTTCTCCAGTGCTGCTTCCAATGCGGAAGAGATTCGTTCCTTTGGGTTCAGTTAGATGATAAGACAGAAGTGCGTTATATCCAGAGTCAGCATCAACAGCTCTGATCTTGGCTACAAAGTATCCCGCTTCAGCAGAGTAGGGAATGTTCTCACTATTAACTGATCCAGGTTCAGAATAAGGCGGTAAAATAACCGGACTGTTGTCATTCTCATCCAGAATAAACACATTTACAGTGGCATTACTGCTCAGAGGAGGAATACCGGAGTCTGTTGCCATAACTTGAAACTGGAATCTTTTTGTTTCTTCGTGATTAAATAATTGCAAACTGAATATTTCTCCACTCAAAGAGTTTATATTTATCAGTGTGATTATAGGAACACTGGAGCTGGAACTGTCTAACAGTGAATATGAAAGTTCTGCGTTCTCACCAGTGTCTGAATCATCAGCTGACACTCTTGTCACCAGACCTCCAGCTTGACCATTCTCACGAAGAAAAGCGTTAATAACGGGAGCTGGGAAATGTGGAGCATTGTCATTAACATCAGAGATATGTACAGTTATAAGAGTGCTGCTGGAAAGAGGCGGAGTTCCTTCATCTGCAGCTGTAATTGTGATGTTATACAGAGAAACACTCTCTCTGTCCAGAGGTCCATCTACCACTAGAGAATAATGATTGTTATATGACATATCCAGTTTGAAAGGATACGAGCCTTTCAGTGCACAGTGTACAATGCCATTTTTACCTCCATCTTTATCAGACACTGTGACTAAAGCAACTGCAGTTCCCGGTTTTGTATCTTCTTTCACAATTTCCAACAGAGGTGTCATAACTATTTCTGGCGCGTTGTCATTCTCATCCACAACTTCTATTAAAACTTTACAGTGTGTACTTTTAGGAGGAACGCCTTTATCTCTCGCCTGAACGCGCAGTTCAATTGCAGGGTGTTCCTCGTAATCAATTTGACCTTGAACAACAATTTCTCCTGAGTTAGAATTTATTGTAAACCGGTTCAGTTCATCGGTATTTCCATGTCCAAGAAATGAATACTGAATTTCACTACTGATGCCGTCATCCAAATCACTGGCAGAAACAGTAGTTACTTTGGTTCCAATTGGTGTGTTTTCCTTCACTTTAACTTTGTATAAAGGTTTGGTGAAAATAGGCTTATTATCATTTACATCCATGACGTCAACAACAATATTCAATGTTCCAGATTTAGGAGGTTTTCCTCCGTCAATAGCGGTGAGTATTAGGTGAATAACAGCTTGTTTCTCTCTGTCTAAAGCTTTCTGTAGCACTAATTCAGCAGATATACTCTGTTGCCCGCTATTAACATCTAAAGAAAAATACTCATTTGAACTGAGTTTGTAGTCTTTTAGAGAATTACTGCCAACATCTGGATCTTTTGCAATGGGAAGAGGAAATCTTTCCCCCTCATTTGCATTCTCTGTAACACTGACAACATACTTGCTGTCCGGAAAAAAAGGAGCATTGTCGTTCACATCCATAATTATAATTTCAAGACGGTAAAGTCTGTGAGGATTCTGAGCAAGAGCCTCTAAATTCAACGCACATTTCTGATTACTGCCACACAACTCCTCACGATCAATCCGGTCTTTGACAAACAGCGAGCCCGTTTTTACATTTACATCAAAATATTTAGCATTTGATCCAGGCATAATCTGAAACATACTTGATTCTAGTTCCTGGGCACTGATTTTTAGGTCTTTTGCTAAATTCCCAACCACAGTTCCTTTATTTACCTCCTCGGAGACGGAATAGACAATCTGACCAAGCGAAGATTTCCATAAAGACAGAAATAAAACGATCCAGAAGCCATGGAATTCTGTAATATCCATGACTGTGCAGCAAAATATCCTGCAATTGATTAGTGTAAAAAACGATTAAAACAACTAAACAGACCTCTCTCCATACAAACCGACATCACGACGCAGAAAGGACTATAAGCCTTGGTTATTTACAGCCTTCAACGCATTTCCTCTTGTTCTGATGCTGTAAAGGAGGAGCTCAGATAACTCTCAAAGTCATGGTCTGCAGTGCCACCACGTGTTGAAAAGGTGAAGACACCATCAGATGTTACTTCAAAAAAATTTATATAAAAAACAGTGAACCAAACGTTTTTCCGTCTTCGTGAACTCAAATCTAAGTCCTCGTATATGCGCAATTTCGAGAAAAAAAAAATCACAAATATGATTAGTGATAAGGAACATACGACGTCACGGCCGCTGTCCGTGGTACTGAAGTGATTTTGCTTTTTAAATACAAAATGGGATATATATATATAGTTAAGCCATTAATCAAACAAAATCAACAAACAAACATCAGAATGGTATCACAAGGTAATTGTTCCAACATATAAAAAATCAATAAGTATGTTAAAATACAAATGAATGAATGCATGAATGAATGAATGATGAGTGAAGGAATTCATTAATTAATTAATCGGTATATAAATATACCCTGTCTTGCAGTGTACAAAAGCAAAGTCATTGAGAAAGTAGAAACGTGGTACAAGCAAATAAAAGCTGTACAGTGATAAAAATACAAATACGCCAGAGTCACGAGATGCTGCAATAAATTGCAAAACTAAAATGTATAAACCAATAAATCTTTATTTTTAAATACTTAAAATATTGGGAAATAAAAAAATATATAGCTTCTGTTTATTCTATAAACATCTAATAAAAAATCTTTAAAAGGTCTTAGGAAATAAGAAAACTCAACATAAACGTTGCTAAAAATTACTTTTGCAAGTCAAGTATAGTAGAAGTTAACTAAAATGCAATATCTTTACCTTCTCGGTGGTCGGAAGAGTTTGCATGCGCGTAAAAGTGTCATCTCCATCAATGCTGATCAACTCCGCGTCTGCTGGTGGAAACGGCGAGGGGAAAACGACTACATCACTCTTTATTGTGTCTGAACTGAAACACACATCGTACTGTTGTGTGGATTTAGAGAAGGACCAGCTGCCGTCTGGATGTGTGCTGATCACTGGAGCGCTGTACCTGCTGAAACTGCCGTCTGTCCTGTAGCACTTAACTGCTATCAACCCCACGAGACTCAGTAAAAAGATGACTGAGACAATAGCGATGAGCAGATACAGATTCAGATCTGAAAAACTCTCGTCTTTAACAGGAACTTCTCTGAATGATGTCTTTATGTCATCCAGACTCTCAACAACCACAACATCCATGGACATAGTCGCTGAGAGTGATGGCTCTCCATTATCAGACACTGTGATAAGAAGTGGGTGAGTTTTTAAGTCATTGTCACTCATTCGTCTCTTTGTCTTTATTTCTCCAGTGCTGCTTCCAATGCGGAAGAGATTCGTTCCTTTGGGTTCAGTTAGATGATAAGACAGAAGTGCGTTATATCCAGAGTCAGCATCAACAGCTCTGATCTTGGCTACAAAGTATCCCGCTTCAGCAGAGTAGGGAATGTTCTCACTATTAACTGATCCAGGTTCAGAATAAGGCATTAAAATAACCGGACTGTTGTCATTCTCATCCAGAATAAACACATTTACAGTGGCATTACTGCTCAGAGGAGGAACACCAGAATCTGTTGCCATAACTTGAAACTGAAATCGTCTCGTTTCTTCATGGTCAATTGACTGTAAGCTGAATATTTCTCCACTCAAAGAGTTTATATTTATCAGTGTTGTTATAGGAACACGTTTGAAAGGATACGAGCCTTTCAGTGCACAGTGTACAATGCCATTTTTACCTCCATCTTTATCAGACACTGCGACTAAGGCAACAGCAGTTCCTGACTTTGTGTCTTCTTTCATAATTTCCAACAGAGGAGACATAACTATTTCTGGCGCGTTGTCATTCTCATCGACAACTTCTATTAAAAATTTACAGTGTGTACTTTTTGGAGGAACGCCTTTATCTCTCGCCTGAACGCGCAGTTCAATTGCAGGGTGTTCCTCGTAATCAATTTGACCTTGAACAACAATTTCTCCTGAGTTAGAATTTATTGCAAACCGGTTCAGTTCATCGGTATTTCCATGTCCAAGAAATGAATACTGAATTACACTATTGATGCCCTCATCCAAATCACTGGCAGAAACAGTAGTTACTTTGGTTCCAATTGGTGTGTTTTCCTTCACTTTAACTTTGTATAAAGGTTTGGTGAAAATAGGCTTATTATCATTTACATCCATGACGTCAACAACAATATTCAATGTTCCAGATTTAGGAGGTTTTCCTCCGTCAATAGCGGTGAGTATTAGGTGAATAACAGCTTGTTTCTCTCTGTCTAAAGCTTTCTGTAGTACTAACTCAGCTAACATACTCTGTTGTCCGCTATGAATATCTAAAGAAAAATACTCATTTGAACTGAGTTTGTAGTCTTTTAGAGAATTACTGCCAACATCTGGATCTTTTGCAATGGGAAGAGGAAATCTTTCCCCCTCATTTGCAATCTCTGTAACGTTGACAACATACTTGTTGTCTGGGAAAAAAGGAGCATTGTCGTTCACATCCATAATTATAATTTCAAGACGGTAAAGTCTGTGAGGATTCTGAGCAAGAGCCTCTAAATTCAACGCACATTTCTGATTACTGCCACACAACTCCTCACGATCAATCCGGTCTTTGACAAACAGCGAGCCCGTTTTTACATTTACATCAAAATATTTAGCATTTGATCCAGGCATAATCTGAAACATATGTGATTCTAGTTCCTGAGCACTGATCTTCAGGTCTTTTGCTATATTCCCGATCACAGTTCCTTTATTTACCTCCTCGGAGACGGAATAGACAATCTGGCCAAGCGAAGATTTCCATAAAGGCAGAAATAAAACGATCCAGAAGCCATGGAATTCTGTAATATCCATGATTGTGCAGTAAAATGTCTTCCAATTTATTTAGTGTAAAAAAGACTAAAACAGGTCAACAGATTGTTATTGATACAATCCGACATCACGACGCAGAAAGGACTATAAGCCTTGGTTATTTACAGCCTTCAACGCATTTCCTCTTGTTCTGATGCTGTAAAGGAGGAGCTCAGAGAACTCTCAAAGTCATGGTCTGCAATGCCACCACGTGTCGCAAAAGTGAAGAGACAATGATGTTACTTCAGAATTTTTCTATGAAACACAGTGAAGCAAATGTATCACCGTCTTCATAATGCCGAATCTAAGCCTTCATATCTAAGCAATCATTACGAAACAGAATAAAAATGCAAATAAGAACATTAAGAAAGAATATAGACGTCACTGTCGCTGCCCTTGGTACTGAAGTGATTTTGCTTTTTAAATATAAATTAGGATGTAGTTAAGCCATAAAACAAAGTCAAGAAACAAACAACATCATGGTTTCAAAAGGTAGTTGTTGCAACATACATAAAAAAATCTATAAGTAGGCTAAAACAATCGGTTTATTAATATACCTTGTCTTGCAGTGTACAAAAGCAGCGTCTCTGAGAAAGTAGAAACGCAGTACAAGCAAACCAAACTGTGTTGATGAACTCCCAAAGCTGTAGAGTGATAGGAATACAAATACGCCAGAGTCAGGAGATGCTTGCAAAACTCAAATATATAATTTTAACAACAAGCAAAAAGTAAAAAAATCGTGGAAATATTACTTTTCCCACTTTGCCACATCATCCAGAATTTTACACTCTTAAAAATAAAGGTGCTTCACGATGCCATAGAAGAACCTTTTTGTCTTAATGGTTCCATAAAGAACCTTTAACATCTGAAGAAACTTTCTGTTTCACAAAAGGTTCTTTGTGGCGAAAGAAGGTTCTTCAGATTATAAAAATGCAAGAAAGAGATGGTTCTTTAAAGAACGTTTGACTGAATGGTTCTTTGTGGAACCAAAAATGGTTCTTCTATGGCATCGCTTGAAGAACCTTTTGAAGCACCTTTATTTTTAAGAGTGTACTTGTGTTTAACTTGAGTTTGGGTGCGCCTGAACTTTAATTTTAAATACTTAAAATATTGGGTAATACATTTATTTTCTTCTCTTTATTTTATAAAAATATAAACAGAAAAAATAAAACTCAACATAAACGTCGCTTAAAATGTACTTTTTGCAATTCAAGTGCAGTAGAAGTGAACTAAAACGCATTGTCTTACCTTCTCGGTGGTCGGAAGAGTTTGTTTGCGCGTAAAAGTGTCTTCTCCATTAACGCTGATCAACTCTGCGTCTGCTGGTGGAAACGGCGAGGGGAAAACGACTACATCACTCTTTATTCAGTGTCTGAATCATCAGCTGACACTCTTGTCACCAGACCTCCAGCTTGACCATTCTCACGAAGAAAAGCGTTAATAACGGGAGCTGGGAAATGTGGAGCATTGTCATTAACATCAGAGATATGTACAGTTATAAGAGTGCTGCTGGAAAGAGGCGGAGTTCCTTCATCTGCAGCTGTAATTGTGATGTTATACAGAGAAACACTCTCTCTGTCCAGAGGTCCATCTACTACTAGAGAATAATGATTGTTATATGACATATCCAGTTTGAAAGGATACGAGCCTTTCAGTGCACAGTGTACAATGCCATTTTTACCTCCATCTTTATCAGACACTGCGACTAAAGCAACTGCAGTTCCCGGTTTTGTATCTTCTTTCACAATTTCCAACAGAGGTGTCATAACTATTTCTGGCGCGTTGTCATTTTCATCCACAACTTCTATTAAAACTTTACAGTGTGTACTTTTAGGAGGAACGCCTTTATCTCTCGCCTGAACGCGCAGTTCAATTGCAGGGTGTTCCTCGTAATCAACTTGACCTTGAACAACAATTTCTCCTGAGCTAGAATTTATGATAAACAAGTTCATTTCATCGGTATGTCCATGAAATGAATACTGTATTTCACTATTGATGCCCTCATCTAAATCACTGGCAGAAACCGGCATTATTTTGGTTCCAATTGATGCGTTTTCCTTCACTTTAACTTTGTATAAAGGTTTGGTGAAAATAGGCTTATTATCATTTACATCCATGACGTCAACAACAATATTCAATGTTCCAGATTTAGGAGGTTTTCCTCCGTCAATAGCGGTGAGTATTAGGTGAATAACAGCTTGTTTCTCTCTGTCTAAAGCTTTCTGTAGCACTAATTCAGCAGATAAACTCTTTTGCCCGCTATGAACATCTAACGAAAAATACTCATTTGAACTGAGTTTGTAGTCCTTTAGAGAATTACTGCCGACATCTGAGTCTTTAGCATTTGGCAAAGGTAATCTGTCCCCAATATTTGCATCCTCTGTTACATTCACAATATGATTGCTGTCCGGAAAAAAAGGAGCATTGTCGTTCACATCCACAATTATAATTTCAAGACGGTAAAGTCTGTGAGGATTCTGAGCAAGAGCCTCTAAATTCAACGCACATTTCTGATTATTGCCACACAACTCCTCACGATCAATCCGGTCTTTGACAAACAGCGAGCCCGTTTTTACATTTACATCAAAATACTTTGCATTTGATCCAGGCATAATCTGAAACATATGTGATTCTAGTTCCTGAGCACTGATCTTCAGGTCTTTTGCTATATTCCCGATCACAGATCCTTTATTTACCTCCTCGGAGACGGAATAGACAACCTGGCCAAGCGAAGATTCCCATAAAGACAGAAATAAAACGATCCAGAAGCAATAAAATTCTGTAACATACATGATCTTGGAATATATTGTTCTATGATTTATTTGGTGTCAAACAATTAAAGCAACTCAAAAGACCTCTATCAATACAATCCGACATCACGACGCAGAGGCAAGTATAAGCCTTAGTTATTTACAGCCTTCAACGCATTTCCTCTTGTTCTGATGCTGTAAAGGAGGAGCTCAGAGAACTCTCAAAGTCATGGTCTGCAATGCCACCACGTGTCGCAAAAGTGAAGAGACAATGAGATGTTAATTCATAATTTCCCTATAAAACAAAGAGTGAACACAATTCATCACCCTCATCATAACGTCAAATCCAAGACTTCATATCTACGCAATAAAAACAAAGCAAAACAAAACAAAAAAAGCAAACACGAATATTGAGAAGGAATATACGGCGCCACTGCTGCTGTCCGATGTACTGAAGTGATTTTGCTTACAATACAATTATTACAATACAAAATAGGATATAGTTAAGCCATAAAACAAACATCAGTATTGTATCACAATGTAATTGTTCCAACATATAAAAATCTATAAGTAGGCTAAATTCCAAAGCTGTACAGTGATACGAATACAAATATGCGACATGCTGAAATAACTGGCAAAATTAAAATGTGTCATCTGAACAAGTGAAAAATGTAAGTATTACTTCCACATTGTCAACAGCATCCAGTATTTTACTTGTTAACTTGAGTTTGGTGTGTGTGAACTTTTATTTTTAAATACTTAATATATTATGAGGTAAAAAAAAAAAACTTCTGTTTATTTTATAAACATCTAAAATATTTTTAAAAACTATTAAAAGGGATTAGAATATTAGAAAGCTCAGCATAAACGTTGCTAATAAGTTTACTTTTGTAAGTCAAGTGTAGTAGAAGTGAACTAGAATTCAATGTCTTACCTTCTCGGTGGTCGGAAGAGTTTGTTTGCGCGTAAAAGTGTCTTCTCCATCAATGCTGATCAACTCCGCGTCTGCAGGTGGGAATGACGATGGGAAAATAACATCCATGGACATAGTCGCTGAGAGTGATGGCTCTCCATTATCAGACACTGTGATAAGAAGTGGGTGAGTTTTAAGTCATTGTCACTCATTCGTCTCTTTGTCTTTATTTCTCCAGTGCTGCTTCCAATGCGGAAGAGATTCGTTCCTTTGGGTTCAGTTAGATGATAAGACAGAAGTGCGTTATATCCAGAGTCAGCATCAACAGCTCTGATCTTGGCTACAAAGTATCCCGCTTCAGCAGAGTAGGGAATGTTCTCACTATTAACTGATCCAGGTTCAGAATAAGGTGGTAAAATAACTGGACTATTGTCATTCTCATCAGTTATAAAAACATTTACTGTTAAGTTACTGTTTAGTGATGGGACACCTGAATCTGTGGCCTGAACTTCAAAATGAAACGATTTAAGATTTTCATAGTTAAATGATTGTTTACTGTACAAGTCTCCACTCTCACTATTTATGTCAATCATAGACACCAATGGAATGACAGTTTTGTCTCTGCTAATTATAATATATGAAATATGAGCATTCTGGTTGAGATCTGGATCCTGAGCACTCACTGTCGCTATAATGACACCTGCTGGACTGTTTTCCTTTAAATATACGTTCATCACAGCTTCTGGAAAGTGTGGAGCATTGTCATTCACATCAGATATATGAACTGTGATAACACTGGTACTAGAAAGTGAAGGGGTCCCTTCATCTGAAGCTATTATTGTGATATTATAATTCGCAATTTCTTCCCTGTCCAGTGTTCCATCTACAACTAAAGAGTAGTAGTTTTTATACGAGGACTCGATCTTAAACGGCACCTGACCTACGATGTTGCAGTGCACTACTCAATTTTTACCTCCGTCTTTATCAGAGATTGTAATTAGAGCCACAGCTGTTCCGACTTTTGAATCCTCTTTAATAGTATTGGCCAAAGAAGTCACCATCAGCTCGGGTGGGTTGTCATTCACATCAACAACTTCAACTAAAACTTTACATTGGGAACTCTTAGGAGGGTGGCCTTTATCTTTGGCTTCCACCCTCAATTCAACAGCAGCATTTTTTTCATAATCAATATTACCTTTAACTGTTATAAGTCCGCTGTCGGGGTTAATTGAAAATAAATGTGATGCTTTGCTAGTACCTTGCTTAACAATAGAAAATGTTATATCACTATTTATTCCCTCATCTAAATCAGAAGCAGAAAGGGAGATGATTTGGGATCCCAGAGCAATATTTTCGTTCACTTTCACTTTGTAAAGAGATTTGCTAAAAACTGGAGAGTTGTCGTTAACATCCAAAACATTGATAATTATCTCTAATGTTCCAGACAATGCAGGTTTTCCTCCATCAACAGCAGTCAGTGTTAGATGGATGGCAGGCTGTTTTTTTCTACTTCTAATAGCAGTGTACTATTAATGTTGATCCAGGAGCACCTTCAAATATAAAAGGAAATGGAAACTCTGTAAAGTGTATTTTTAAAAAACGCACTTCCACGACATAATAGAAGAAGGACTTGTGTGATGAGATTATCTTAAAAGTCAGGTGAACGGTCTACACGTTTTCACAATGATAACACAATCAAGTGTAAACATTTTGCAAGCGATAAAATAAATGAACAAGTAAATAAATAAATCAGCAGTAAACCTTAACTGTCATGTTTAAATCGTTAACAAAACGAACTGGGATGATAAAAATGCCAGTTGTATAAGAAAAAAATATAAGCCTTCATAATGACCACAACTGTCGCTGTCCAGTGAGAGGTTCTGAAATTCAAACAGGAACTCTGCTTTCGGAAATCGTATAAAAAATAACGAAAATACGAAAAAGAAGAAGAAGAAGATACCTTTTTATGATAACTTTTATGAACTAATTTTAACAGCAAAGCTCTGTCCCACTATTTGTATGAAATGTGGGTTGCGAACTAAATACAAAAAGAAAAGAATATAAAACACCTCATATCAAATGTAGTTTGGCCTCGAGGTTAACAATCATCGTTTTCAGAAGGGGAATATTTAATATGTTCATGTAAGTTCAAGGCTTTTTATTGTACACTACTAGTGGAAAGTGTGAATAATAATAAAACAACAAAACAACCCTCCATCATTGGTGGCTACGTGTTAGCACATAAAGAAATTCCATTTCAGCAGTCTGACCCAAAATGATCAGAATACCAGAAACTATTAAACAAGTAGTTAAAATATCTTCAAACATAATTAAAACACCACAATTATGTTTTTTTTACCACAAATAAATAATGGGATATTACTATATCCCCCATAGAAGGAAGAGTATAGTTGGGCGTTAAAATAGCTTTTTTACACATAATGAAAATTATATATAATAACTGCTAAACAATTTATTAAAGCTTGAACATTTGTTTCAAATGAATAATAATACATGAGGAGAAATCATCAGTGTCTTTCTCTGAGGTTGGAAGAGTTTGTGTGCGCGTAAAAGTATCCCCACTATTAATGCTGATAAAAAGATGACTGAGTCTGAGGCAATAGCGATGAGCAGATACAGATTCAGATCTGAAAAACTCTCCAATGCGGAAGAGATTCGTTCCTTTGGGTTCAGTTAGATGATAAGACAGAAGTGCATTATATCCAGAGTCAGCATCAGCAGCTCTGATCTTGGCTACAAAGTATCCCGCTTCAGCAGAGTAGGGAATGTTCTCACTATTAACCAGGGCCGGACTGGGAGGCAATTTCAGGCCGGGAAATCTCACACTCATCCAGGCCACACAGAAAAACAGGGGCCAAAATTGAACCTTTTGGGGTACAACAGCTTGACACCGTAGCAGTACAATAAGGTAATTTCAGCATCATTACTCCAGTCTTCAGTGTCACATGATCCTTCAGTAATCATAATAATATGCTAATTTGCTGTTCAAGAAACATATTTGTTGTTATTATTATTATCAATATTTAAAACAGTTGAGTACATCAGGATTCTTTGATGAATAGAAAGATCCAAAGATCAGCATTTATCTGAAATAAAAAGCTTTTGTAACATTACCCATGGACTATACCAAAAGCTCCTTATAATTCTTTTTTTTTTTAATCTGAAATTGATTTCTATTTCAGATACATGCTGTTCTTTTAAACTTTCTACTCATCAAAGAAACCTGAAAAAAAATCGAATTTGTTTTCAACAATAATAATAATAATAATAATAATAATAATAATCATCATCATCAGAATAATATAATGATTTCTGAAGGATCACGTGACACTGAAGACTGAAGTAATGATACTGAAAATTCAGCTTTACATCACCGGAATAAATTACATTTTAATAAAAAGATGTTTCACAATATTACTGTTTTTGCTGTATTTTGGATCAAATAAATGAAGGCTTCTTTAAAAAAACATAAAAAATCTTACTGATCAAAACCCTTTGACTGGTATTAAACACAATTTCTAAAGTGCCTAAATGTCAAAATTAGTACAATATATTTGTTGAAAAAGTTTAATACACTATTGAATTATTAGGCTGTGAGCCTGCTACTCATAGGCTATTACTTTTGTGTTGCTGTCTGCTCTAGCGCCCTCCCTCCCTGTACAGTAAATCCATGTGAATATCTGTCTCTGCTAAAATTTTTAATGTAACTTTACAATCGATATTGATGTCCTTTAGCACAGTATTCTGAATGATGATAATGGGGTGCTACTAATAGCCTAACAGATACTAGCAGTTTAATACTCAACTAGGTTAATAAAGACAAAACTATCTAGCGTATTTACAGATGAAACTGACCTGCACTTGAAGCCCTGAACAGATCAGTGGTGTTGCTACATTTCACTGCTTCGTCTGGCCGCTTACTCTCTTTCGTCGAGTCCCGCGCATCGGTTAATCATAAATCATCCGCCCGGAACTGCTTAGTGTACAACAGTGAGCGCAAGCTACATTAAAGTGATTATTACGTTTTGAATATGGATATTTTTCTTACAAAAACGCCATGTGAGACACTTTTTTTTTAATGGATGAGCACATTTTAATTAAGTTCTTTTAGACTGATGCATGCAACAC